CAGAATAAAATAAATAAATCGCAAGCATTTTGTAAAGGGTGGGGGGTAAGTTCCTGCTGTACATAACTCGGGGAGCAGATGTTTTTCCATTAGCTCACTGTTCTCTGCTGCACTGGCTCTCTTTACATTTCTTGTTCGTGGCATGTTCATTATAATATTTTTTTCCTAGGGTAAACTATAGCATGTTACTGAGACAGCAGGTAGCCCACTCGAGCCCCACTGTGAGTACATGGAATAGCTATCCTAGTCATTTTTCTTTAAATGCTCCTTTAAATTAGCCTTCAGTCTACCTGGTGAGGTTTGCAGACTGTGCTTAGCAGGCATTTAGCCAATCTTAGATCAAATTACCAGACCTACTTTGCTGTGAGTGGCCATATTTGGTAAAGTATTGGGTTAGTCAAGAAGCTAAATTGTCAGATATAAAGTACTAGTAAAGACAAACAAAGTGGACATTGTAGTTAAAAAGTACAGCTTAAAATAATATAGCAACAGGAACTGGAATATTAGACCTCTTATTAAAACTGGCTTGCAACATTCTAAAATGCTCTGTATAAATAGAGCGTACAGTTATTACCGCCTGGAAATATAATCACACATACTTCAGATAAGAAATCACTCCAGTTACCCAAAGACCTTAGAACTATTGAAACTATTTTCTTTACAGTTCTGACATGCTTTGCTCTCTGGGTCAAAAGTGAGCTTATAAAAATGTTGAATGAAGGTAAATTTTGGTCGTAAATTTGAACCATATCAAGTATATCTTCCTTAGCTAAACAGCATGACTGGATTTTCTAAACAGAAAGGAAGAGTACTGGCATGATTTTAAAAAGGAAATAAGGGGCAGAAATAGTTCACAGGTCAGACATTTCTCTTGGTAACACAAGCAGTATTATCACCAGTAATCTCTAGGATTCCCTTGCAGCTCTTTCTGCAACAAGAGATAGAAGGAGTTAACAAGCTTTACCAATGCCACAGAAGTTCCTTCTCTCCTCTCAAAGCTGAATTCCAGCTCTCAGTCACGAAAAGTAAAACAAATAGGACAAAATGAGCATATGGATTGCATAAAGACCACCTCTCCTGGAGCTGCACCACCACAGTATGTGCACTGCAGCACCCTTCCTGAGCACTCCCTGAAATAAGCTGTTTCTCAGACTTGGGGACAAGAATAATGTTTAGGCTTATTAATGTTAAAGCCTAATGAAATGACTCTCTCCTTTTAAGAACCCATTACATTTCAAGAGTACTGTATGTGTGTGTTACTGTTAAAAGGGACCAGACAAGCTGTGCTAACAGTCTTTGATGCAGAACACTTGAAAACAGAGTATACCTATTAGTATTCCAAGCATACCTGCTGCAGGGAGTGGACAACCTTTCTAGTCTTTAGGGACAGCAGACCTTGTACACTTCCAGAGCTAATTGTGACTACCTGCAGGGAAAACAGGAAGATATGGAAGCCCACTGAAGGAATGTACTAAATTCCCTGCTGCTGCTGACTGTGCTCTCAGCCAGTCCTACAAGAGATGGCTGGACATAAGATTAATGGTGAAAATTCAGTTTTATTTGGTTGTGTGAAAGAGAAAAAGAGGACTTTTTCTACAGATGACAGATCCATCAAGTAGCTCTTTGGTTGCTTACAGGAAGCTACAAAAAATTAGCTTGCCGAAGTTCCCTGGGCATTGCTGCAGTGAGAGACAAGGTGAAGCATCCATTATAGCGCAGCACATTTGGAACTTAGCAGCTGCACTTCCAAAGCTGCTGCTTTATTGTCTTCCCTACATAAATGTGTTGTCCATAAACGCAGAAAAGTTACAGATAAAAATATTAGGTCTATGCCCTCTTATGTGCAAGCAAAGTATCTTTATCACAGCACAAAAGAGACCAACTATTTGCACAGGGTTCATAGCCTTGCCTTCAACCACTGTTAAAGGAATGCACATATTTTCGTACACTAATTGTGAGACTCGTTAGGAACACTCAAGGACTGAGGATGCTTCTGCACAAGGCAGGAACTCCTGTTGCAGCTTCAGGTGGAGGATGATACAGTGAGGATTCCTCTATGTAAGCACCATCTGATAGCTACCACCCACTAATGGTCACTTTTGCAAGTGTTCGGGCTACAGCAGGATGCAGAAAAAAGAAGCCAGACGCTTGTCAAGTGTTGGAACAGGCTGCCCAGGAAAGTGGTTGAGTCACCATCCCTGGAAGTATTTAAAACATGTGTAGATGTGGCACTTAGGGACATGGTTTAGCAGTGGACTTGGCAATGCCAGGTTAACAGTTGGACTCCAAGATCTTAAAGGTCTCTTCCAACTTAAATAATTCTGTGTATGTGCTGGCTTTGTGGCCTGGCTTGGCTGCTGGGGGGCTGTAAGAACAGCCTCACCTAGCTGTGGGATAGCTGGTCTTGTGTACCTCTTTCCAATCTAAGTGCAGAAACCTATAACCAGATCGGTCACTTGGTACATTAGTTTTCATGCCCTGGGATATGAAGAGGCACAGGAACTGTAATGGCTCTAATGGAACCCAGACATAATTGCAGCCTGGCACTCTAAATCTATACCCACACACAGAGACGTGGCCAGCTGTGTCCTTTTAGTGTCTGAAAAGGACGAGTGCTTTGTTGTAAATTTACTGTAGGATGAGGTTAGGAAATTTTAATAGTTTTATCTAAAGATTTATGATTCATGTTAAGAGGTTAAAGTGTTAATGACAACAAAAACAACAATACACAAGAGTCATTTCTCAAAGGCAGATTAACATTTTTTTTTCCCTTTAGAGTTAGGACACTGAGGTATGAAAAATTTAGGCAACTTGCCTAGAGTCACAAGATGACTCATTCACTGAAAAAGGACAAGTCCAAGCTAAACCTGATAGAAATCTACAGCATACTGGTGCAACTCTTTCACGAATATGAAGGGACTCTGGATACAGGCATCAGAATGTCACACTAATCGCCTGTTGCTTTCCACAGGTCTTAATTTTGGGGTGAGCTGTAATGCAAAAGCATGTGATCACCACAACTGCTTTTAACCACCCATTTCTGTTTAATTTGTTGTTTATGAAATATCTCAATTTTGGAAGTCATTAGCTTCTTATGAGTATACCTGTTCCTCCTTTCCCCTTCTTCCAGACGGGAAAGATTCTAGTACAGAGAGTGAGTGATACCCTTTTGGACTATTCCACTCATTAAGACCAGTATAAGATCCGACCCACTTCAAAGATGTCCTCTAATTATTCAGGTGCTGTACCTGTCGAAGAGAGTAGAGACTACCCCAAAATACCTGCATCTCTCCTCATCTGTAAGGACACCAGAATGCAGTGACTTCCACGCTACTGTGAGAAGAGAATAGGCAGTACCTCACCAAGAGCTCATTAAGCTGCATCCATAACAATAACTGACTTCAGTAATGAAATTACAAAGCAGTTACAGTATGTATTTTCTGAATACAATCCTGATTTAAGTCCAGTTAAAAGTTAGCATGAAATAAAACAAGTATTTAAAAAATTATATAATAGGACAGAAAAGTTACAGCTTATAAAAATAAATTCTATCTAAAAGAATTAATTAACACATTTGAGAAAGGCACTCGATTTACACTGAAAACTAATCATAGCAATTCACAGCTAGGTCACAGCAAGCACTAGGTCTTTATTGCTTTTGTCTTTTCACACAGCAGCAAAAATGTAAACTGCCTAGAGCTATCTGCAGGATGATGGACAACAGACACCTGACTTCTCATCACAATAAACTCTGTTTTTTTTTGCTCCCCACCAGCCTTCTCTGCAGCCTTAAATCAGGAGCATAAAGTGAATAAAGCAAAATCTCACCAAATGTTTTGAAGGCCACAGCACATCACTGAAATTTACATACACACAAGCCATTAAGTGAACACATGCGATTAACTTAAAGGATGATGCATTCCATCAGGTAACTTCTTTTGTTTAATAATTAGGTAAATTATAAGAAAAAGAATATCACGTATTTTGTACCAGAACTTAAGTCTAATTGGTAGGAAATGGCCCACAAAAACAGCTATAAAAATCTTTGCTGAGAAGTAGGGTGAGACTGCCAGGTTTTATGTGAGAATTGTCAATTGTACAGATTAGCTAAATGAGAATTTGAAAGGTTCTTCTGCATACAGAATAGCAAATTATCAGCAAGGTTCCAGTAGGCTCTGTTTTTTTTTTTTTTTCATTGCAAATGGTAGCAGCAACATCTAAGAAGCAATCACAGCACTCAAATGTAATCTCAGGTGCACAACTGTGGGCCCAGTTGTGGAAGAAAAGCTGTGTCTCTTAAGAATAAAATTGCAGGGTCAGAACTCTATCAGTCCTGAAATGTTGGAATGCAAATGGCACAATGTGGAGGACAACTCTGTTCCTCATCAAGTGTCCTATATAAAACCCTTTCAAGAGTTTGGAGATCACCTCTGGGTAGAGTTCCTTCTCTCGTTCTCTTTTCCCTTTATGTGCTCTGGTCTAGCATCTCTGCATAAGTGTCTCAAACTGACATGCAACCTACAAGTCCTTGGGAGATTGAAACAGTCAAGGATAAAATGAGTGGAGGATTTGCTCTTTTTAATGATTTTCACTTAAAACTCAGCAAAGATGGGAAAGTTCCCAGTCTAAATAACATTGCCCAGTCTTATTACAGGGAAGCACTTTAGGAAAAGGAGAACGAAAATAATTGTCCTTACCGACTATCATTTGTTAATGAAAAGCTACCTACTCTCTTTTAAAAACATGTTTTAGTGATGACTGAAGTTTTCTGTGTGCTACAGAAAAACAGAGGTGAGCTGAAAAATCGCACTAGTCCAGTATTTTCTTTGTTATATTGAATCAAATAAGTGGTATTTAAAAAACTGTGTGGGATTGATAGGCAGATTTTCTGCTGGAATAAGGTGACTTTCAACTACTGGTTTCAAGTACTCTGTTAATACTTATGTCATCTCATTCACCACTGGAGGGGAAGAAGGAACTCCAGGTGGTCCAGGACTTACCAGCTCGTAGCCAGATTTGTTCAAGAGCTGTCCACAGCTGCATGGGTCCTTGCTTCATTGCGCTGCTCTGCATAGTTATTTCAGACATGGCCTGTTCCAGCCTTGATGCAGCAAGGGAAGAGGCTCGCTGTGATCCTGTGGACCAAACAAACAATAATGCATTTCATACTTCAGGATATTTCTTTGACTCATTAAGGCAGCAGGTCTGATTTTCCACTTATTGCATCAGTTTTATGTAGTAAGAACTCCACTGAATTCTGGTGTGACCAATTGGAGAACCATGTTTTATAAAAGGTTAATTTACTGAAAAAACCCACTAAATTACCCAAGGGCTACAGCTCAAACAAGTGAATTATGAGACAGACTAATTTTATAAAGGCCTGCTTAGCATTCATCAAGGAAGCAACTGTATTTTGATCATCTGGAAAGCAGAACTCCAACATCAAATATTGCCCATGAATACTTATTAGTAACCTGTTTTATAAGCACACTGTCAGCATACAATTAAAAAATAAGGCCCACTAATGCAAAAGCTTAGTACAGCATTACAGAGTAGCTTGGCACCATTCACACAGCACACACGTTTCAAGTGACCTTAATACTGTTCTACTGGTTTAGAGGCAGCGTGGTTTTTCATTTAACCTCAGGGAGCAGAGAGCTCAGTGCTTTGACTATATTAACCTTTAGTATGTGCTGTAACATTTATGCAAGAATAAAGTATTTGGCGCCCACATCTCTGGGACAAAACATCACATCTAAAGCTCCTCCCAGGAAGAAGGCATGGGCAGAGACCATGTTCTCCAGTACAGCAAGTGGGATTATACTGGTCATCCGATCTCTCAGAGGGGTACCGAGAGGATGGCAACAAATAAGAAGCTACAAAATGAGATTTCAGACATGGCTTTGTAAAGCTTTGGGAAATAAAATCCGACCTTAAGGTTGATAAGCTCTCTGGAGAGATGCTGTGACTGAAGCACTTGCGCTGATTAGCATTACTCTTCAATCTATCCTTACAGGCTGGCCTTGTAGACCACAGGATCCTGGAGTTAAAAGCCTGCTTTCTCTCACTTCAGCCATCCTGAGGGCACAGCAGAGCCTAGGAACAGGTACTTGGAGAAGCTGGGATGGCTCTGGGCAAGCGAAGGGTCAGGCGAGCAAAACACCTGTCACAGGGCGTACGCATCAAGCAGTCTCCCGGGATGGACAGCACGCTCTTCCAGCTGGAGGTGCTGAAAGAGAGGGTTGCCAAACCACACCTCCTCACCAGCAGACCATCACCGGGGGCCAGGGCGCCGGCAGGCAGAGCAGCGTGGTCCAGGGCCAGCGCTGCTCTGAGCGCTGAGCTGGCACCCAGCCTCCTGCCAGGTGCGAGGGGAGACGCACTGCCACCCCCCGCTCCTTCGCGGAGAGGCCTGTGCGGCGCGGGCAGGCCGCGGCCTGCTCCTTCCGCCTAAGCCCAGGCCGCACTGCCTGCCCCCCAGTGTCACGGCCAGGGAGAGGCCGCAAGTGCCGCTCCAAGCCTGAAACTGCTGTGGGAAGTATCTGCCCCATTATCTCACCGCTAACTAATGTCATTAGTTTTAAGGAGAACTTCAAAACAGCCCTGCAGCACAGGCACCTCCCACGGCTCCCTCTGAAAATGCAAATGTGCTCTTCCTAGATGCATTTCTTAAATTCCTACATATTTTCAAAGACATTCCTGATCTAATGTTCCAAAAGATGACAGTGCAGTAATGTAGCAATTACAGTATGGTAAAAGCCATTCTGCTTTGCACAGAGAATGTATTATATTTAACAGATCCATCTTCAGCCTGTTTCACTGCATGGGATTCCCCCCCTTGCCCTGCCCACTCACACTCCTCTCCCCAGTCCCCACCTCCACCTGGAAAAAATTTCACCGAAACTCTCAGGAATTCAAGACAGACAAAGGTTGTTTAACACAGGGAAAACTACCAGGCACTCACCCCCAGCCATCCAAAACACAAACAGCTGCTTTGCAGTGCAGAGGCAACGAGAAAGTGGCCATGTGAACAGCTAGTGATGTTATTAGGAACACTGTGAAGTTAGGGCAGACCTCTTGCCTCCTAGGTTAGCAAATGTGGAAAAAAATTACATGGGCTTTGGGGATTTTGCAGTCAGCCTAGCCAGATTCCTGTATTAACACTCCTGATCATGTTAGCATGCTTTGAAAGCAACTTTCAGTATTACATTTCTCTGCCAAGACTGCCCTCTTTCAGAGAGGCTTTCTGGAGCTGTGTTTCTTGCAAGCATCCGTATGTAATACTGGTCTGATTGCATTAGGTGGGCAGATGGGCTGGTGTTTTATTAACATTCTCACAGAGCTCAAGGAAATCCTCTTTTCCTTGCAAGTCAAACCAAGGAGACTATGTCACCGTAAGACACATTTGTTCATTTTGGAGAGGTTCACACGCTGCTGTGAGGCTGAACAGCCACTCAGGATCTACTAAAACATCCTTCCCCCATAAAGCAGGCTTTACAGGAATATCACTATGAGCTAGTTGCACTCAAAGGAATAAGATGAGTTAGCCGCTCCTCTTCTCCTCTTCTTTAGCTGGGTAGTTGCCAAGAGGGGAAAGCCTGCTGTTTGAGCCTGATCTTGCCCAGTGCTGTGCACTTCAATCTGCACAGCCATAAAAAGGGAACCCAAGTTATTTAGCAATTTACAGTGGAGGCTCTTTGCGTTTAACAGCCTTTGGCACTCCAGTCCTTTGATGTTTATTTTCTTTTCCATTTCAGCCTACACAAGGAAGCAAACCACACTAGGCAGAGACCATCTGATCCCTTCCCATCCCTGCCTGGCCTCAGACACAGATATGCTCCTTCTAGACACACACATGCCAGATGAAAAGGCTCTCTCCATCCCAGTCCTTACGTGCACGTTTGCTACTGCTGTTCTTACTCATCTCTGCTGAACTGCTCAGGAATGCTTGTTAAAGCTTGTCTGCCCAGATACTCTGTAAGAGAAGGTCTTTGCCAGCCTGGCCAGTCTAGACTGAAAGGGGCTCAGTCACAGCTTTGAACCTGAGGCGAGCAATGCGGTGACCCTGGGGGTGGACTGAAGACTACTGGAACCAGAAAAGGATACAACTGTAACACACGCAGTCTCCTGAGAGAGGAGGTAGGCATGTGTCGCACTGGTATGGCTCTGACCTCGGAGTGGCAGGGGAGCCGGAAAAACTCCAAGCAACATTAAAAGAAAGTCTCAGAACATCTCATTATAAAATATCTCATCCTAAAGAAACGTAGATCTTTATATGCTAAAAAACCCCACAAAACCTGTCTCACAGAACTTTAATGTCATGCCTCAAAATACATGCAAATGTTGGCATAAGAAGACATCACATCAATTTGTTATTTTAGTGCAGTCTTTCTCTTTTTAACAGCTTCACTAGACAGAATATAAACTTCACATGTTACAATAAAGCCCTCCACACGTTTTGGAAAGAAATAATAAAAATAACAAAATTGATTTTGTCATTATGATCTCTGCATATAAGCCATACAAAATATATCTAAATAATGTTAAAGCACCGTTCTAGAGTTGTTACAAGACCAAGAAGGACCAAGTTTAATATTCTGCATCTATTAAATAACTGCTATCAAAATAGAAATGTTCCTCAGTAGATTTACTAGGCTCATAAGAAACACAGAATTCCCTAGCCTAAATCACTTCAGGCAGGAGCATTATAAGATAAGACTAAATCTGAAAAAGAATGAAACATCAAGGCAGCTGACTGATATTGGTGAATTTAGTTAGGAACACTGCTACAGTTAGGAGAAGATGAAGAAAATAAAGAGGAATTAATCTTCCTGGCAGCAAACCTAAAATTCTGGCACAGCAAATAATCTCATTGTGGTCTAATTGAGGGAGAAGCCAGTGTCAAACGTGGCCACAATAATCCCCCCTTCAGTGACAAGCCCAGAGATCACAGAGCGCCTGTGCATTACAGCGATACTGCTGCATGCTCCTGGGGGATTTCACAATGGAAACCAGAGCCTATTCCAGAATGATGAAAAAAAATCAGACCTCCTCCTTCCTTCAAGCAGCCAGCCACAGCCACAGCTCTGGGGAGGCATAAGGGTGAGAGGGACTAGAGCTGTACTCTCTAATCTCACCTTCTACTGTCTTCAAAGAGGCTCCCAACTGGGACAACAGACCCAGCTGCCTCCTTTCTGCAGATGAAGAACAGCAGCACCTAGAGCCTGCAGGGAAGCAAGCCACAGACCCTTGCTGAAATCAGCCAGTGCCAGTCCAGCACGAAGGTGGATGGTGTAATTTCAGTATGAGCCCCATCCTTACGTCCATTGTGAGTGCAACCATGTTATCATGGAAACCTAGATTCTCAAAGCAGAAGACGAATAAATTTCTTGGCTAAAACCAAACTGCATTCAGTGCAAATCACTTTAGGTGCGTGAAAAGCTGGTTTGAAGCTTTTACTTTACACTAATTTGTTCTTTCTGGCAGGCATACAGCACTTTGTGCTAATGACAGCTGCTCCACTGCATGCTGGCGGCTAGAACTGGGCTAAGAGCAGGCTGGAACAGGTACCCAACCCAGGTGCTTTTTGAGGAGGGCACTACATAGAGACCAAACATGCCTGAACTTTGCTGTGACTCTGGAGGAGGTGCTGCATGTCTGCAGCAGGGGACCAGGCAGGAGGCAGCAGTAAGGTCTTAGAAGGGTGACACAGCAGCACAAACTATTACAGGCTCTGCTCGTGACAATTTGGTCTCAAAATTTCAAACCATGCCGTGAAGTGGATGTAACTCAATCCTGACCACACTCCTTTCTCCAATTACAAAGCAAGGCAAAGGACCTCCAGAAGAGCATGGGATCCACACCCAGAATGGCTTTTACATCCCATTAAGCACTAGCTAGAGTTGAAGGGGCAGGGATCAGTCCAAGCTCAGGGGCACAGTCTAGGCATCATAATCCACTCACTGTTTCAGCAACAGGGTGGGAATCAGATGGATATCAAAAATACTGTGGCAAACAGTATTTTTTAGTTTTTATTGCCTTCCTAGTAATGCCTGGAGCCTGATGGATTCTGCAAATTATCAACACTCTTTTCCAAACCATTTTCATATATGCAATGAAAATGAAAGTCCATTTTACTGCCCAGCATCAGGGAGGATAGGATATATTTCAGAAATCTTCAAAACTATCTTCAAGTGATGAGTGTCCTAAATGATTTTGTATCACCAGGAAACTTTCATGTCATATCCACTCCATTTTCTAGACAGTTTTTACCATGCCAAATAGCACATACTTATTTAGCATATCCTCTTCACCTATCTGTGCTGAATTTGGCTTGTATTTTTTAATTAAGCTAGAGAGTATAAAACACTGCCATATTAACAATGAGAAAAAGGACCTATACAAAACAGAGGCTCATCTCAGCAAAGGCTAATAAAAGTGAAATGGAATAAACAGATTAAAAATTACACAAATATGCGTGTACAGAATCAATAAGATTACAATGTCATAAACATAGACCCTAAGGGTTTAACACTACAAACAAAAAAGCAGACAAGCTGAATAATGCTTTGATGTTTGAATGTTTGTATGCTCAAGACCTAACCTTGGAATGCTGTTTAACCATTGGTGGGTATAAATGGGGGTTAAACACACATAGTTTAATACAAGTCATGTACACATAAGAACTTGTCCTCCATCTCAGCTGTACATGCTGAGCATGACCTCAGTTTTACTGATTCCAAATGCTCAAGATTAACACTCAGACAAACCCTAATTCCCTAGCCCCAAAGAGTGAGACTTATTTAAGTATTAGTTTTTAAAATTAAGCTTTTATATTCTTTTTGTCCAGTTTCTGAATCTGTGAGGTTCATTTTGTTTGCAAGTGTTTCTTCTACATCCACAAGGGTAGGAAGCTGCTTTCCTAAAAAACCTTCAAGTAAGAAGGCAAGTTTCTCACATAATCATCTGATTTTGAGAGTTAGGGTTTTAAAAGAAGCATCAAATATCACGAGAGTTATGATAAAATCACAAGTCAGCAGCACTCTGAAAGCTTCCTTTCCCCTTCCTGCCAAGATTAGCTTTGATGTCTCAGTTATTTCCATCTGCCCGTATCTGTTACTGTGAATGTGTATTTGCCATATAATAAAGCATCACAAGGTTTATGTACAAATCCCAAAGCAAATCACCCTCTAACAGGAATTGACACTCTCATTCAGCTTTCCAAACCCACAATAATATCTGGCTTAATCAGGACATCTAAAAAGGATTAATATGGGGGGGGATGGGGGGGTGGGGGGGCAGGGAAGGAGGAGTCAAAAAGCAAAAAAGAACTTAATTATACAGTTCTTGCAGAAGTATAGTGAATTCTCATCTAATACCTTTCATGCTTGTCTCAGAGAGCTTTGTAAAAGAAAGCAGGAACTCATCTTTGTTTTATGCATGGGGAAGCCGAGGTACAGACAGTGACACGTTCTGCAGCAGAGATGGCCCTGGAGGCAGAACTGGACCTCCTGACCACCAGCCCAGCAACGCGCACGCATGCAGCCCCACTGCCCTCCCTCACAGAAGAAGAGAACACATTCCCCTCTCATAAAAGCATTCATTTAGGATGGGAAAGCACAAGTCTTGTTTCCTCACCAGAATCGGTATCGTGAGCTTCCGGGAGCATGAGATGCAGTCCGTTATGCTTTTTGATCACTGGTGTTTCAGTCACACTACTTCCTTTCTCAGAGCCACTGTAAAGAAACAAAACCATGTTACTTGGCCACCTTTCAGCAGAGAGACAACTCTCCCCTTGAAGCAGGCAGTAATCTCATCTAACCGCCACTGGAACTGAAAACTCAAGCTTTCCACTTGCAGGCAATCAGCTGCTCGGATGTGTTGTTTGAACACCTCCACCCTGGCAATGGACAGGAAGCTCAGGGACACAGTGCCCAGCAAGGGCTTCAGGGCACATGCCGCTATCAGTTTATTTGGCTGTTTTGAGTTTGCAAACCACTGGACAAGGAACACGTTGGCAGCTGGAAGCCAGATCAGAGGAGGCCAACCAGCAGCCTCACACACAGGAAGAACCACCATCCCTTGGGCTTACCTGCAGAAGGATTTGTTCACAGGTCTGCCGTGCTGATTCTTCTGAAACAGACCAATTACCACCTTCCACCCAGGTGCTAATTTCTTAATTTCAAAGGGATTATTTTCTTCAATTACACCTTTGTTCTGTTCAGAGGAGGAAGATAAAAGCTACCACATAGCACTGCTTTATGAAAGGAGGACTATCTGATCTGCTCTTCTACTAGACTTCTGTCCTCATAGAAGAGGTCTTCCAAAGAGAAACTCAAAAAAAAAAAACAAACCCAAACCAACAAACCATGTGCCTAATGAAAAAAACACTTAACACGGATCTCCTGAGGCTTCCTGTCACCACACAGTCTGCCATCCCCCCAGGATCGGATGGTGATGATATCTCCTCTCATCATCCATTAAAGGACAAAATATTAAAAGGAAAAGTGACTGCCTTGGCTACTTTTTCTGGCACACTTCCAAGCCTGCAGCTCAGCCTTTGGACAATGTTCCTCCCAGGTAACAAGCTGTCAGAGAATCATGACTGCTGTGGATGCCCCACCTTCCAGTATGATCAGTCATTTGGTAGGGATTGTACAGGATTCCCTTGAATTTGCATTACTCTAGCAGAAGAATTAGCTTGGGACTGCTGTTTGGTTTTAAACATCATAATTCTGTTATCACAGAAAACAATAGCAAAAGATAAACCAAGTCTTGTCCTTTCCAGCTAACAATCTAGGACTGAAAGCCACTTACTGTTGTTCATCACATTGATAATCATATTTACAATAGCTACTGAGCCTTTTACTTGGGCTTTGGGATCAAACATTATGGTTTCTGTTTATGGATCTTGAATTCTTGGGCGTTTGAATGCACAAATCTCAGGCCTTGACTAGGCCTCCCTGTCTTCCATACAGACTTACACACTGATACACCATTTGAGACTATCATGTGGTGACAGATACAAATAAAAATTAAATTCTCTGTCCTGTGCCTCAGCCTTGACTAGCCAGGATTAACCCAAGTGTAAGTGCCCTGACTGGGAGCTGCTGGTGGAACTTTAAGGGCACTTCTGTCTTACTGGTATGTTGTGTATGCAGGAACATGGCAGCTACACTTCAAAATACTACTCCCATGAGCTGAGCACTGCTTTGCTGCAGTAGCCATCACCACAAAGTCACTGTTTGGGTATCTGTTCATGGCTGAACACTGGCTTTTACATTACAATCCTACACGAAGAACAGGTGATGAGATTGGTGGATGGCCTAAGTTTGGCCACAGTAAAAACCGACCACAGGACAGCAGCAATCAGAGAAGGCTTGATGACATGGCCTCTGTTAACAAAATGCACCTCAGCACGGTCAGCAGCATGGCATTTTAACTGGGAAAACAGACTGAAATCCCAGCCTGAAAACCAAGTGGACTGCATTGTGCAAAACAGCCACTCCCAACAGCTTTATTCATTATCCCAGAAAAGGGCTGAAAGTGAACTACTCCTTCAACGCTGCAGTACAAGGCCTTCGGCCAAGAAAGCTTTTCCATGCACCATTGAAGGGACAGTAGCCAGATGATTTGCCTCCTGCATACAGCACTGGAAAGGCTGTCAGCGGGACATGTTGCCACTCCACTGCCCGTGTTTTTAAAAGGTAGTTGAGACAGTGGATAAAATGGGGACAAAAATTGCTGAAGGGAACACTTGATTGTGAGAGACTGCAGAGGCACGAGTTTATCAAAGAGAAGACAAGAAGGGACTTGAGCATATCATACAAATAGCTGCCTGGGGAGAAAATACTGGGCCCTGAAAGACTCCTTAGTCTAGCAGAGTCATAGGAAGATTGCAAAGACGAGAAACTTAGGCCAGACAGATGCAACCAAATGTAACTAAAGTGCAATTTAATCGTGTAGGCGATTAGCTGGTGATTGAACTAGTAAACAGTATTGGGTACAGAAGCTCTCAACTTTATGTAAATACAGGCTTCTGTCTTCCAACAGGCCCTAAAAAATGTCTGTGTCCAAGTCTCACTGATAAAAATTCCCCTTAAGTTTCCTTGCAAGCCCAACCCAGAATATTTTACATATTTGTTAGCTGATACTGCTGCAATTTGCTTAATATAAGGGGCTTCCTGGGTCACTGAATCCAGTCTAAAACTGCAGGTACCAAGTTCATTCTTGTTTCCTTTCAAGCAGTATTTCCCAGTAGAAAATGCTTTATGAAGTATTTTTTGAGAAAGCCAAAAAGTCCCACTGGGAATAGCAGTGAAATACACCTTAGAGTTCCTAAAAGCAAAAGCAAAGCAATTTGTGTTGTTTAGGCTTCTATGGTTAAAGCTTATCAAAAGCCCCTAATGCTATCGCATCTTGGGTTTTTAAGTATAACAGACAAAGCACAGCTTGGGATCTGAATGCAGTCCAAATGGCTGAACTATTTATTTGTCTGTTTTCCAGTGTACTCTCTTCAGTCTCAGGCTTGCAGCCCCCACTTGCAAAAGTAAATCTTAGTCATAATTGTTCAGCGTGGATTCGATCAGCTTCATGAGGACTACTCATCGGTATAAAGATTATTCATGTGAGAGGTAGATGATTGAATCCTTAGCTAAAGAGACTAAGGCCTACGGAAATCAATGATTCCAGCCTGTGAGAGACCATTTCTCTGCTGCTATGTAAATATCTTGATTTTTGTGTTTGGTCTGCTGCTCGTTAGCTAAACCAACAAGGAATTACTAATAATCCCTCAAGGACAACTTGTATATAGACATGCATCATTCTGTACATATACTTCTGGTATTTATAAAGCTTATGTAAATACATACAGAAATTGAGGAACAATACAAGCTTCATCAAACTGCTGTCATGACTGTTGCCATCAAGCATGCTGTCCTTCCCATCAAACACAACTCTGGACATTATTGGTGAGAGGTAAGTACAGTCATGGGATAGGATTCCCAAGACAGCTGTACAGTGGTATCCTGACTAGGACAATATCCAAAGGGTGTGGGAAGGATGAAAATCCAACCTGGTAACTTTCACACTTTCTAAACTTTTTCTTTCAGAGGGGAAGCAGATGAGAGGGAGGGAACAAACAGGGAACCTAGCACTGTTTAAATGCAGATTTACTAGGACAAGGGAAGGGAGAAGGATGCTACATCCTTCATTCCCTTCCTTGCCCAGTTAGCACCAGGCTATGCAACTGGCATGCAACCGCAGCATATGATAGAGTCTTGGACGTGTGCCTTTCCTTGGCTTACTCAGTTCAGGACTGTGTCACCCCCACACATTCTTGGGTGGTGCCTACTACTGCAGACTGTGAACAATAGCTGATGGATGATCAGCACTATTGGGAAATAAACATAAATCTGCCCTCCATTCTGGACATCTGAATATGGATAGAGAGATTTTTAGACATTCAGAACAGAAACTCTTGGTTCAAACTGCTTCTTCAATCTTAAAATCTAGAGGTTTTGTCGTTTGCTTTGTTTGTTAAATCATAGCTATTAAAATATTTTTTTTTAAAAATCACAGCTAGAAATATTACTGATGTTTCTTTTTAAACGGTACTGTTTATTACCCTTTTTGCAAAATAACTTCACTATCTATACAATTAAAGAAGATAACTGCATCTCCATTATGAAATCTGAACTTGTTAGTAGAGAAAGCCTACCTGTGCTGTAAAACATTATATACCATCTGCCAGATCTGCAACATATGTCTGCATGTCACCAGAGCCTCTTCAGGTCCTTTATGTATCCATTCCAGTTTTACTTTGGTGAAAAGTAAGCTGCAAGATGACAAATAATAACTTCTGTTTTATTGACATCTCATAAATGTGGAAAGAATCAGTATCACTCTAGCAAGATCCTGGCAGCCAGCATTTTTACTTGCTTTGTATGCGCAACAATAAAGAAAAACACCATAGCACAAAACATTTCATTTGGCTCAATTTTGATTCCCTACAAGGAGATGACAGGATTAACAGAATTCCTCAGCTGCAGTCAAATTTGTATCACAAAGCTGGCAGGACAGTGTTAAAAACAATGCAAGGTAACAAGGTGAAGCATAAACTGAATCTCATTTTATTTTGGACAGCATTAAAAACAGAATAAAAAGGAATTGCCGTAATACATATGCCAGACTGTTTTCTTAGTCTGGCATCTTCTTATAGCACCGACTTATATAATAAATTTCAAACAAAAACCCCAACACACTTCATATACACAGACAATTATGTAATGCCTCACAGGAAGGAAACGCTTTTTCTTAACCCCAGTTGGCAATCATCTCATGCCTCTAGGCAAGACAGCTGATAGCCCTTGTACATTCTTGTTTTAGGTAGTGTAACTGCTGCTACTATTCTTACACCTAGAGAATACGTACTTGCACAAACCACTGGAATTCAGCAGAATTAGGTCAAGCAGAGATTAGAAGACAAATTCAGGAACGACACAACCTACCCCTTGCTGCTAGCATGGCTTTTAACACCATCCCTTCACAACACCTTTTTTTTTTTTTTTTTTTTTAATAATTGCCAAGATGATTGAATTTATTTATTGTTTACTAATGTAAATTTACTTCTCTGCCTTAAATGTTTTCATAAAGTCCAAGATCTACACATTTTGAATTAGCTTGATATGGCTAGTGATTAATCCACTGGATACACATATATGCACATACATGCATACAACATTAACAGCTGAATGTTAAAAATCTTAAGACCAGTTTTGTGGATGTGATCTGCAGGCTCCTGGAGAATCCAAACAACTTCAGAGTCAACATCAACTGCAGAGATGATGTTAGAGAAGACATCGCAGATGAAGAAGATATCCTTCACTTGCAATAATTAGAAATCTGCAGCCAAGACTCTGTGGTGCAGATCTACAGTAATGTGCTAAAACGGCAGTCCCATTCTGCACTAACAATGTTCATGGCTGCTGCTACAGTTTGACCTTGTAGGACAAGCATTCAACTAATTTCCTCAGGTACAAACTTAGGCTAGGAAAGGAAGATCAAGATTCATAATCAAGAGAATTTGTCCTTTACTATTTTATATCCCAACTCTATATTTACCTTTGATTTTCCCGTTACTGATCTGAGCAAAACAAATACTAATTGAAACATTCCCTGCTCTTAGAGATGCTAACCCTCTCACTGAAAGGAAGCGCTCTTATTATGAATCACGTAGTTATATTTGGGCTAGATCCGTGGACTGATCAAAAATTTTGCTGGGGCAAAGAATATAACAGTGGATGCACTCTTAATAAAAATGGGACTGAATTCAAAGGAGTGGTCAGCAATGGAAACTGGCCAGTGATGCATGCTGCTCTATAAGCCTTGGTTAACTAGGCTCATAAGAACGGAGCTTGTTTTAATACAACAAAATATAAAATCAGTCACTTAGGAGCAGGGAATATACATAACACTAGAAAGGTGGAAGGTTAAACCTTGCAGTGCAACGGTATTATAACAGATTACCTCATGAATGTGAAGTTCCTGAACAACAATGCAGTTAAGAGGTCAAGCAACCCTTAGCAACCATATACAGAAGCACAATCAAGTAGAAGCTGGAAGATGTGGTTATTCCTGTTCACAGCATCAGCAAGACACACTGCAATCCTGTTTCTAGTTCTTGTTCTTTAACTCCAAAAGGAGACTAAAAATGGGATGAGGTTCACAAAAAGGTTATGCAAGTGATCTGAGGGCTAGAAAAATGTATTTCCTCAAAGGCTTAAGAAGCTCAGTTGCTTTGGTTTAACCAAGAAGCAAAGAAATTATTTTGCCCCAGCCTTAAAGCACCTACATAGAGAAGTATCTAATTGTGAATCCTTGATCTAAAAGAAAAGTATCAGAAAATCCAAGCATTTGGTGGAACCTGAAACTAGTCAAATGGAGATTTAAGTAAATGCAGACACATAACTATAAAAAAAAAAAATAATCTTTGCAGCAACTACCTTGTGTGTACAGTAATTTCTGTAGTCTTTAAAAAGCCTTTTCAGGAAGACAGTATAACATCTGGAAAGCAGTGGCAATGCACAAATCGAAGCTATGGGTTTGATGCGTAGGCTCGTGAGCAAGCTTTGGACTGCACTGTGCAGAGGGATGAGACTGCATCATCACATTCCTTCTGGCAATTACTCTATTTAAAATATTCTGCTAGTCCACGAAACAACCACATTGAACAATCTATGCTATTTTAAGAATAGAGAATATTTTTTAAGCCACTAAAAACTTTAAAAATAAAAGACCTTCTCTAAAGCACTGTATGACCCTCCTTGCAGCAGAAGAGTGGTGGTCACGGAGCCTGAGGCCTAGAGAACAGTTGGATTACATCCCTGAATAATTCCGTGCTTATGAATGCTGTCAGATACCACTCAATAAAATATAAGAATATAGGAAAGAAAAATCTATTAACAGTCAAACTACCATACAGTAGGGTTATATTAAGGGTTCCTTCTCCCCTTCATATTAGTAGAGATATAGATGGCTTAGTTATCAGCAGGTAATTAAAATCACCACATAGCAGATTTAAACATTGCGGTTAAATATTAAAAAGACAAATACCAAGTTCTTATCTTCATCACTCTGATGTTTACTGCTTACAGTGACTATACGTCAACTTCTTTGCATGAAGATACAATGTTCTATCTCAGGAGAGAGAACAACTAGTGAAACATAGGGAAAAAGCAAATCTCTCACAAAAACATAAGTAAGTCTCAGCACAATATTATCACCAGTCATAAGGCATGAGCACACAAAGGTTAATGAAAAATAAAACCATGCAACTTTACCAACTGTCTCTGCAGTACAACACTACCAGATCTCAGAGATACCATGCACTGTTAGCTGCTGTGGTAATTCACTTTTGAAATAGTGTTACTCACGTTACTGTGTATAATATAATGAACTAAACCAAAAGCCAAATAGGAAGAATATAAGTGGCAAAAGGAATCAAACCATAATGACACCAGTAGTAAACAATGCAATTAAACATGATAACAAAAAGGTAGAAATACAGTCAGTAGATTAGGCTGTATATGCTATATGCTGTTTACATTTCTCAGCTTCTAATATGTTTTATCAAATAAAAAACTGATAAAGATATAGGGAAAACACTGAAGTGAAGTAGGTGACAGTATCACTTATCTCAAGCTTATTATTTTATTACTCAGATAGCACTCTTGCTACAAATAAATCTAACCGTTATTGTGTCAGATCAGTGTCTGTGCACAACTCTCAGGCATAAATAGAAAATATGTATGCACAGATCTCACCTTACTATATTTGCTTAATATCATTTTACTGTACATTTGTATGTTGCTTGTAATATTAAGCAGAGCAGGCTCTTAAAGAGATTCAACATACAAAAAAAAGCCCCAAAATTATCAATATATTCAGTGGTAATTCTGTTAGCCTCTGAAAATTAGAACAGAGCGATATGGGCTAAATCTAACATAAATTGCTACTACATAAACATAGAAAAAGAGAGCAAAAAATCCACAAAACGTTATTGTAATGGGTATACCTTCAGGGACAGTAGTGATGGAAAGTAACTAGTGATTACTCTTGATACCAGACTCTAAACTCCCTCCCAGAAGAGGTTCTCTCATGGATGTGGACAGTATGCAAAGGCATTCCCTGATGTAACATCAGGTTACTGCCACAAGCAAGCATACATATTTATCACAGTAACATCAACTCTGACAAATTAACATCTGTATACAGCTGACTTCGCTGAGATATGAAGCTCTGAAAATTCAAAATTAGGTTTCCCAAGTATCAAAATTTCATAGCATGACATAAATATCACTATAATATGCCACACATAGACAAAAACTAGGGACTGGAATACTGGAAGGCCTATGAAAATCTTCAGCAGCAAGCAAGCTAATTTGGTTGACTTCAGGAGGCATTCAACGTTTCTCTTCATAAAGACCAATTACAGCTGCTGATACTCACTGCGTCTCCAGGCCTGGCCAAATACACCTACCTAGACTTTCTGAGAGTCTTCTAATCCTACATGGCAAAATGCTCAGCCTTTAAGTTTTTTAATATTACCCATGAAGAAAAGAGGCAGTTCTTTCCCATCATTAGCAATCTAATTACTGAGGTTTAATAGTTAATAGTTATTATCAGAAGGTTTCACATGTGCATATGGTATGCTATAAATGCTTATGAGCACATCTGTGGAAGAAATTGTAAATCACTATGCTTAGTAATAACCTACTGACTACTTTATGGATGCAGTAGGACTATATAAAGATTTATTAATCAGTTAATTATTGGGACTTTTTAAAGCTTCTTTAAAATGGAGTTTTTAGTATTAAATGTAGCCCTTTAACTACACATTTATACAGAATCACAATGGGATCTCTGCCCTATCATCTGACAAGCAGTAAATAATGCTAGTACTATAACAAACAATAACACATTCCACTAATTTCAAGGTTGAGAGACTAAATTAGGAATAATGAGTACTATGCAGTTGTTTATCTATATGTTTTGCCACTCACTGGCTGCTTATAACCTCTCCAGTTTTTCAGAGCTTATCTGCAGCTGCTCAAAGATCTACCTGTTTTTGAGCTTTACCAGATCAAGGCCATCATTCCCCAAAGTCTTCCATTATTTACTCAGATTTGCCTACCTACACACACAGCTGCTGGGTTATTTTGGATTTTGAATACAAAAGGGATCAAAACAAAACACCAAACCCAGCAGTAGTATGTCCCAATTCTCAGACACAATTGTGTACATTAGCATGAAGATACTGAACTTCTGCAACTAATA